TACGCTCCACACTCCTCCTGATTGCCGACAGGCGTCAGATGGCCGGCTGGCCGCGGTCTGTCACTGGCTTCTCCGCGCGCTGTCCCCGGCCCGCCCCTGGCGTGTTCTCGGCTTGTTCTGCTCTGTCCGCGCACTGTCCCCGCTGCGGCCCGGCCCCGACTCACCTCGTCCCGTCCCCGCTCTTTCGCGCTGTCCCCGGTTTGCCTCCCTCCTGTCGCAGTGCTGTGCCGTCTCCGCCCTGCCCCTCCTAGTGCCCGGCCGACGTCACGTGCTGCCGACGACAGCGGGCGCCTTGCGTCTCCGATGGCGGGAGTCCATCAGGGGGCGGACGCCGCTTTTTGCGGCGATCTGACGGCAATTAGCTGCGTCAGTTTTTGCGCACCGCTCAAGCGGCGCTGAAGGATGACGGCTGGCGGTGCGTGATGAAGACAGACGTGCCGTCCCGGCGCGCCGCCGCGTGGTCCTGACGGACTGGCGGTGACGCCGCCGCCGGCACGCTGCCCGTAATCCGCCGGTCTGCGACTCATCACCGGCCGCACCTGTCCGCACACGTGGCGGCGGCGGCCGGCCGGGCGCGCACTTGCCGCGGCGGCGCGCCCGGCTGCCGGCGAGCGCGCGCGACGACTGTGACGCCAGCCTGTCGCTGTTGCAGGACGACTACCTGCCGAGCATCAGCGGCATGAAGGTGCTGCAGGCGAGCAACGGCAGCGGCCCGACGACGCCGGCTAAGCGCGTGGAGAGGGAGGTGCTCGACATCGGCTACTCGTCCGAGAACTCAGGCCAGTCGAGCGACTCGAGCGAGGCGGCCGACGTCTCGCCGGGCGCCGAGTCGACCGCCAGCGCGCCCGGCCGCCTCGCCAGCGGCGTGCGCCGCGCCGCCGTCAACGCCTCCAACGTCCGCTGTGAGGTCATCAACGCCGACCTGAACGGCAACGGCTCCGACGCGCCGGCGGCGTCAGATGGTCGCCATGGACGCGCCGGCGCCGGCGCCAGGTGGCAGTGGCGGCGCTGGCGGCGTGCCAGGCGGGCGAGCGGACGGCGCCGAGCCGTTCAGTGTCTCGCAGCGGCCGGCGGAGAACTGCGGCACCTTCTACTTCCGACACAGCGACACCGAGTCGGAGGGAGCGCGGCGACGGCTGCGGTACGAGCCTGCCAGCTCGGACCTGGAGTACGCCAGCCCGGCCTGGCCCGACACAGACTCCGACTGGCTCAACAACTCGGGCCTGGACGACAGCGAGCTGGAGCAGATCGGCTTCGCCACGGCGCAGGAGCTGCTCTCCGAGCTGGGCGAGCACGAGGAGGAGGCGGGCGGCGGCGCGGCGGCCGAGCCGGGCCCGCCGGCCACGCGGCCGCCGGCGCCGCCCTGCGACAGCGAGATCCACCGACTGGTGGAGCGGGCCGAGAGTCTGGTGCGCGCCGACCTGCGCCGCAGCCTGCCGCCGCTCGAGCTCCACCGCCAGGTCAAGGCCAAGGGGCGCCGCGTGCGCGAGTGGCTGAGGCGTCAGCACGGCAGGAGGCCCTGCGAGCCGGCCGCCGCCGCCGCACCCCCGGATGTCAGTGGTCAGGTAGGTGGTCGGCAGTGTGGGGGGGGGGAGGGGCGCTGACCTGTGGACCCGGGGCTCCTGTCGGGGTAGTGGGCTCGCTGAGACCGGCCTCAGCTGCGATGCCCACTCAGCGGTATCGCGTCGCCTCTCAGACGCCAACATGTCGCCCGCCCGGCCGACGACAGGCGTTTTGTTCGCCG